TGATGTATATCTTAATGTGTTCTAAGTGGCTCTTTTAAGCAGAGATGTTGTCCTGCAGAACATCTTTTGAAGAACACACCTATATGAGCCTGATTGTTAAACATTGCAAACTATGAGAGTAGGGTTCTCTCTTGTAAACTCATGAAAGTTCTTGGAGAATGACGCATAAGCTCCACCCGCGGGGAAGACCCGCAGTAGCCCAGTATCGGTCAAGGCTTTGTGTGAAGCTAGATTCGCAGAAAACTTGCAGTACAAGGCCCAGTCCACTGTTCAAGTTGCTTACTAGTGTAGCATAGAGTTCTAGGTGGAAGTTCAACTTAACAGTCTTCACTGCAGTACCGTTATATAAATCAGTGTTCTGGAGCCAAAGGCAATTCTTGTGTGCCTCTGGGATCTGGTGGGGGATTGCTGGAATTTAGTCTATTTTGGGACAACCCAATAACTATTTCAGAAATTCCTAATAAATCCAAGAGGCCTACTTAGCCCATTCGTGCAAGGTAAGGGATACTACTAAAGTTTAGTCCCACATTGCTAGTTTAGTTGGAGTTGGACCTCCTTATAAGGGAGGTTCTTTCCCCACTTGTATGTGCATGAGAACAAGAGGGACATCCGCGCGCGCTCCTCCTCCGCCGCCCGCCTCACCACACCACGCCTCGCCTCGCCTCGCCTCGTCAGACGCCCCACGCTGCGCCGCGGGAATGAGCCGAGCTAATGTCTAAATTTTTGCCACGCACGACGGGTATACAAAAGGTCATACGGACACTGAAAAGATTTTTGCGATACTGGAGTTTGAATGTGTCGGCTGCTGGCTGTTCGCTTCATCTTCGTCTCTTCGTTTCACCCTCCGTCGCTGGCCTCTCGCCTCCTTCTCTTGCGCCTATATAAGGGAGGTCACTCCTCTCAGAGAGACGCACCGGATCTTCTTCTTCCTCTCGCCATCGGTTCCAATCTATGTGCTGCTGCTGTCTTCCTCATCCCGGCTTGCGGCGTGCACCACGAGTCGGGACAGTAGGCCTCCGAAACCGCACCTCTTTGAGTCTTGTACGGGAGAAGGGTGATAAGGTTTTTGGGGAGCGCTTCATGCGACTACTGACTTCTTCGTCACGGACGCCCGGGACTCCAATGACTACTTCCCTGACGACGACTTCTTCCCCGACGTCGACAACCTCCTCGACGACATGGCTGGCGAGGACACCGACCCCAAGTCCAGTGCTACTACTGTTGTTGTCCCGTATGTGTTCTTCTTCTTTCTGTTCGAGGTCTTGCCATAGTTTCTTATTCTAGTGTTTGCCCTAGATATGTTAGGTTTTACTTCATATATGCAACTTGCTCTACTATCTGCTCTAGATATGTTTGGATACAGTTCATATCAAATGCTATTTACCTTCTCTCTGTTAGATTGCATGACTTGTTTTATCTCTGCTATATTAGTCATGCTTTATCTACCATTTCTGTTAATAAAATCATTCGGTAAATTGCTCATATTTACAACACTGGGTACACCGAAACTCACTTCACAAAATTTCAAAAAATAGTATGTAACTTTGAAAAATTCAAAAAAAAATCCAACGCATATATAGGTATTGGCTAGAAATTTACACAGGTATATTTTCATGAAATAATTTGTCCGTATGTGACGTGGGGGTATATGTGAACATGAGGATGCTCCACTTTAAGTTTTGAAAGTTAAACTCTAGCATTCTCGTTTTCTTATTTTCATGCATGTTTTAAATGGTCATATTATTTTACGAAATTGTTTATGGGAAAGTTTCAACTCAATACATATGTGCTTGTTTGTTTAGAATTTTAAAAACTTACCAATGCAGTTTTGCCAACTTACAGAAAGTGAATACGGCAGAACCCATGATGATGCCAGTATTGTTTGTCTTCTTTTAGTGAAGATAAATAGGATAATCATGTAGAAAAAAGAAAAATGTAGAATAAAGAAAAAATGTCTTCTTTTAACCAATCAACATTAGTACAAGATCATTTTCCTCCATTATGGAGTAAATTGCCAAAACCACCACAATTGCGTCGCTTGGTGCTAAAAACCACTGTTTTCATAAAAGTTTGCTGAAAACACTTGTTTCAGTAATTTCATTGCAGAAAGCACTAACTGGTCGAATAACCACGTCTTGACAGAAAACGTGAACTGTCGGGCCCGCCAGTTAGGCCACATGGCAAGGGGCAGACGGCACGTTTCCTACGACCATTAGCGCCGGTCGTATTAACCTGATTCGACCCAACCCGACTAGCACCCCCTATCTAATCTGGCGCGTGCCCTCGCTGGCACCTGAGTTCACTAGCCGCCACCCGCCGCCGCCACTGGCACCTTGGTTCACTAGCCGCCACCCGCCGCAGCCATGGTTTTATGGAATGACGGCAAGACGAGTTCGGATTCCGTGTCGCTACTACCACACAAGCACACCGACGTGTCGTACGTGATTAGCGTGACCTCTCTGACCAGGGTTAGGGTTTGTGATTTGGGATTTTTCGATTTGAGCTTTGATTTAATTTGAATTTTTGTTGTTGCTCTGCTTAGCCCAGCAACAACAGAGGACATGGATTGGTTGGGCATTGATCGATGGCATTGGAAAGCACTTTTGCAAGCATGGCAAGTTTCCTGAGAGGCTTGTTGTGTTCGAAGGGCTCAACACTGGCCGTCGTTTTTTTTCCGTGAATACGCGCGGAGCGTATCATTCCATTGATAGAAGGGGAGCAGTGAATAAACAGTGGCGGACCTCATGAAGCGTACACTGGTAGGCGCTTATGAGGTTGCTTTGAGCAGAGAAAGGGGGTGCTCAGCCCGCGTACAACAAGGTCAGGTTACACCAATAATCGAACTAATTGGTTTTATGGTTGCGCCGACAAGGTTAGTAGCAAACAAGATTTTTTGGATTAGGTAAAATGCAATGCTCTGTAAGTGCTAGAGTCAGTAATGCTATGTTTAAATAATTGTGTTTTGATAAAGTTCATAATTGCAATGCTTTGTAAATGCTATAATCTGAATTGCAATGCTTCGTTTTGATTTCATAATTGTGTTGTAGAACTGTAATTATATTATCTTCTCTGTAAATGCTATAATCTGTAATTAAATGCACTTTCGTGTTAATTATAATGCTGAGACAAAGAAAACTAATTGGTTGCATGAGGGTGACAATTGTGGTGTTGTGGAATGGGTGAACAACGAATGGCCTTGTGCACTGAAGAATTCACTGACAAAACTTTGGGCTTTGTATGAGGAGGCAGGAGGATAGGTGTTGTTATTACCATCCCTTGCGGTGGCAGCTAAAATTTGTTGTCATGTGCTCAGCTTTACAAAGCACCCATCCAAATCTGAAATAATAATCACATTTAGTACAAACAGCAATAAATGCCACTGAAAGTAATTTGGTGCCTTCATCACTTATAACTGTACCAAGACTTAAGTGACTTCATTCATTTACGTTGAGATACACGAGTAACTACCTTTTTCCACGATGAGCGATTGCGGAATGCCTGAAGCATGAAGAAGTAAAGTACAGTATGTACAAGGAATGGTGGCACACTGGCGAATGCAAACTCTCAGTGAAGTTTGCTAGCGGAGATATTGGATGTTCGTTAAAGAAAATAGTTCATTTAATAACTCCTGTGGTGTTTGCCTAGTCATTCTAACATACCTATCTAGTTATTCTAATAGACCTTCTCTGGGTAAAATGTGCTTGGCCCGTGACTTTTGAAAACTGAGGATGGTTTCACATAGACATTCTAGTATTTGTTTGTCTTCTTTTAGTGAAGTTAAATAGAATAATAACATAGAGTGAACAAAAATTGTCTTCTTTTAACCAATTAGCGTTAGTACAAAGATGTTTTCCCATAGTACGCCATAAATTCTCCCTTAGTCGTTTTATAACTAAAATTTAATTAGGACACAATTCTTTTGGCATGCAAGAATTGCTCACTAGAGATAGCTCTAAATAATTACTCCCTCCGTTCCTAAATATAAGTCTTTATAAAGATTTAACTAGGTGGACTACATACGGGCAAAATGAATGAATCTACAATTAATATGCATCTATATACATCCGTATGTGGTTTATAGTGAAATCTCTACAAAGGCTTACATTTAGGAACGGAGGGAGTACCTTGCATGACATGTTTTTTATTGCCATCTCTAAATGATGTGAACAACTGTGAAAATACCACCTTGCCAACAAGTTAGTATTTGCCTCATATTGCCTAGCCCAGGACTAGGTTGCAGATGAGTAAATTTGTACCTGCATAGTTCCACGAACCGCCTACTCACCTCAGGGACGAGCACGAGGACCTTTCCTACCGATTCCACATACCAGTGAAGAGTGAAAACTACTGAACCATTGGAGTTATTGAACATGAGAGCGATCATTTGCAATGATGTGGCCGTCATCCAGTGGCTAATACATTTGCAAAAATCTGTTTCTAGAAGAAACAACGTGGGAGTTTTCCAGTTTTCATTTGAACCTTGAGGACAAGGTTCTATCTCTAGTACTAGTTAAGTAGGGTGCATGGTAAAAGTTGTGGAAAAAAATATGTAGCTTGATGATAAGACTGCTAAAAGTATACAATTAATCGGCAGCGGAACGAATTGATGCGAGCTTCATTTAAAAGAAGATATATGGGTGAGTTTCCTCTGCATTATCTAGAGGTCACATGTTCATAGAGGTGGCAAAATCGCCCATGTCTCCAGCTGTAGCATTTCCATTCATTGTGAAATCCTTAGGCATTACACCAATAAGTGATGAAGGCACTCATGTGTCAGGTCCTGAGATAACTTCCATTCGCTGTCAATGTACAGTTCATATTCTTGACATTAGTCATTCTAGCAGACCTTCTCCGGGCAAAATGTGTTGGTCTTGACATTCGAAACCGGGATGGCTTTACAGAAAGCAGAAGCAAACCGGGATGGTGTTACAGTCATAGACAACCATTCTTCCTTCGGTACCACATGCCTGATTTTACATTAGAATTTTCTTATATTTTCATTATGTTTCAGCTGGATGGGGATTGTTTGGTTCCATCATAACAGTATCACTCATCAGTACGAACATGTCATTAGTGTCACCATCCCTGGTCGTTTCATGTTTCCTCTTGTGCCCGAGCCTGGAGCTGGAGCCTGGAGCCATACTGAGAAATTTGGAGATCCTGCTGTGTACAAAGGCGCGCTCCATAAATTTCCCTGGGAGGAACTGTATGACTTGTTGTGTTGTCTTGTTGGACATGTCAACCGCAATCACCAATGCGGCCTTATGATAAGAATGGACCTTGGTCATGAAGTAGACGACGTCTTTGCCGTCGTCATGCAAGCTGATCACAGGCAGGCTTGTGTGGAGCTTCTCAAAGGTCAGCGGAAGAGGAGGGCCTTGGTCGCCGTCGAACTCATACGGCGGCAATTGGAGAAGCGGCGGGTCTATGGTGCTGCCAATCTCAGACGCATGAACTACCTCGCTGTCCTGGCGCCAGCCAGAAGAAGGATAGGCAGCGTCCATGCTCCATGTGGCTGCCTTCCAGCCATGATAGGAGGGAACAGTCCAGTCCACCCAGTTGCTATCCTCGCAGTTTAAGGTGACATCCAGATGCAGCTGGGCGCACTTGATGCGGCGGCCACCGTCGATGATGGCTACATCACGGAAAGCCTGTGGGTAAGACTGGACCATGGTGACAGGGTTGGGTTCAAGGGGCGGCGGCATCGGACAGTAGCGGAGCCCTGGGATGCTGTCGAGCACGTTGTATTGAAGGATGCCCTGCTGCAGGTCGACGAAGCACATGGTGGTGGAACCACCGTGTTCTCCGCCGATGGAGATGGCCTTGTTTGTGACAAAATCAAAGCCGCCGCCGCCGGCTCGCTGTTGCTGATGTTGGAGCAGCAATAAGGGGGGCTCCTGGTCCTGGATGGACCACTTGTTGGTATCGGAGCTGTAGAGGTAAAGGTCGAACAGGTGACCGGATGCTGATGGTTTGTGTTTGAGGAAGAGCCCAGCGACGACGTAGGAGACATGCTCCTCCTCCTGGGCGCGGTAATTGCAAGGTGGGCGCAGAAAACCCCCGCCTTGGAGTTGGGGCTGGGACTGGGGACGAGGCCGCCGGAGGAGGCCGAGATGATAGCCGTCGTAGAAGCGGTGCAGGGACTGTGGGGCGGGATCCGGGTCGGGAAGCCGCTTGAGCGACGGGTCCATGCCTCTGCTGGTGTCGCCGGCATAATAGATGTAGTGTTTGCGCCCGCGGCCTGAACAAGACCGTCCGATGTCAATGGCGAGGAGGGCGAGCCTGCCCTCCGTGGCGACGATGACGGGGTCATAAGCAAACTGCGATCCGATGCAGTGGGCGCACAGGTAGGAGACGAGCGGCGGGTCGCCGACGACGAAGGTGACCTGGATAGTGACGCCGTGATTGTCGGTGTTGTCCGTGGTGTTGCACATGGCGGTGCTCGCGTTGGTGACGTCGGCGATGTAGGCCACGCGGTCGATGAGGCATGACGCTGGAGGAGGATTGGCCCCGCCGTCGACGACGGCGGGGGGTTGGGCAGCCGGATTCAGCGAGCCGCGCTTGAATTTGCCCATATCCGCTCGTCCGGCCGGCGTTCCTTCCGCTTAATTGGCTTTCCTGGACGGGCGGCGGGTGGATTCTTAAGGACGGGGGAGGTAGCAATTGGAGGTGGAAACGGAGAAGAATCCGAAGTGCTCAGCTGGCGGCGGGCGGCACATCACTCTCTTACGTCTCTACTAGGGCAAGCGAAGCAAACAAGTCTCCAATCCACCGTCGATCTCTACCCTAGCCGCAGCCCTGCTATGGACTACAATCTCAGGTCTGGCACAAGCCAAATAAGCCCACCAAGGTGGTCAATTAACCCATGAATCCTCTCTTTTCTAGAAAACTAACACTTTGTTCATTCACGCTAAAAACACAGTGATCCCTAAATAAATTCCAAAATGTAAGGTGAGTCAAAAATGTCAACTCGATTTGACCAACTTTCTAGAAAAAGCGTAAATATCTGCAATACCAAATAGTCATCTTTATTATCCGTCATGTAATGTATTTTCATGTTTTATTTATTTGCTATTGAAGATTTTCATATTTTTCTTATATAAATTTTTGTCAAACATAGAGAGTTTCAATTTTTTAAATGCACCTCACATTATTGGCGTTTTTGAGTCAAAAACACGGATGGTGCCCAGGCTCATCTGCACCCAGTTAGAAAAAAAATCGTAAAAACTTCCAAAAAAATCAAACAATTCCAGAAAAAATTTGTGCGGTAGATAATTTGATGCCTGAGGCCTGCTCCAAATTTTAAGTCATATGGGTATCTGAGCGGCTCTCAGCAAAAAAGACAAATCGGGCCAAAACAGTACATAAACACTAAACTTTTTACAGACCCTCATTTTGTCTTTTTTGTTAAGAGCTCCTCAGATGTCCAAATGATTTGAACGTTGAAGCAAACCTCACGCATCAAATTGTCTATGGCACAATTTATTTTTGGATTTTTTGATTTTTTCTAGTATTTGTTGTGATTTTTTTCGTCAGCGCAGGTGCATATGAGCTCTCTTACCTCTCTACTAGCGGCGGGCGGCTGGGGCTGGGGCTGGCGAATCACAACCCTACTAGGGCAAGCAAACAAGGAAAATCTTACTTGCCGCTCGTTGCGGCAAGCTGTCGACGCTTCGCACAGAGGAGGTGCGAGCGAGCGAACCAGTGGGCCGGCCCGTTTTAGCGTTACAGCAGACTAGGTTTTGGGAACCTTCTATGATGTTTCTAGCAGGTTTTTTCCGGTTTTGGGAACCTTCTAGAAGGTTCCTGAACCGACCTTTTTTTTTCAGTTTCTTTTTCGTTTTTCTTTTTTCTATTTATCTTCTTTTTCTTTTTTCTTTTCTTTTTCTGTTTCTTTTTTTTCTGTTTTCTTTTCTTTTTTCTTTTTTTCCTTTTGAAGTTTATTTTCAAAAAACATCTGAATTTCAAAAAATGTTCCTGTTTTTCAGATTTTGTTCACAAATTCGAAAAATGTTCCCATTTTACAAAATTTGTTCATAAATTCAAAAAATGTTTCTGGTTTCAAAATTTTTGTTCCGAATTTTGAGAAAATGTTCCTGTTTTTAAAAAAATTGTTCGAATTACTTTTTTTTTCATTTTTTGAGAAATTTGAAAATAACGACATGGATTTCAAAAAATGCCTGTATTAAAAAATTGTTCACAAATTTCAAAAAAATGTTCTTATTTTTCATATTTTTGTTCACTTATTAAAAAAGTATTCACATTTCAAATTTGTTTGGGATTTTCAAAATTGTTCTCCATTGTACAATTTGTTCTAAAAATTCAAAATTTGTTTGTTATTTAAAAAATTGTTCCCATTTCAAAATTTTGTTCAAAAATTCTAAAAATGTTCATGTTTACAAAAAAAAATCATGTTTACAAATTGTTTTTGTTCACAATTCCAAATTTGTTCTCCTTTCAAAAATATTCATGTTTTTGAAAAAATCGCTATTAAATACTTGTTCATATTTTCGAAAAACTTTTCTGTGTTTATTGATTTTATTTAAAACTCGTGTTGGCTCTGTAAATTCTGATTATATTTTTTTAGTTTTTCTTCTCAAATTTGAAAAGTGTTCACATTAAAAAATACAGCATCTGCATTAGCTTTAGCTGCGCGCGCCATAGTAAAACCAGAAAGCTTATGGACCGGCCCAGCTGTCTAGGCTCGTGCGTAAGTTACAGGAGGTGCCAGGTTCGATTCCTTACATCCTCCAGCAGTCTTAGTATTTTTTGCATTTTTACTGTGTTTCGCTAATGGGCCGGCCCAGCTGGAGTCGGCCCTGTGCGTTCACTCGATAATTCGCCGCAGCGAGCGGCGCATAGGAGCTCCCAGCAAACAAAGTCTCCCATCTACCGTCGATATCCACCCTAGCGCTGCAGCCCTAGGCCCGGGCCAAATAAGCCCAGCAAGGTGGTCAATTACTCGTGAATCCTCTCTTTTCTGGAAAACTACACTTCTTCCGTTCGCCCTAAAAACACAGTGCTCCCTAAATAAATTCCAAAATGGAAGGTGAGTCAAACTTTTCAACTCGATTTGACCAACTTTCTAGGAAAAAATATATAAATATCTGCAATACCAAATTGGCATCTTTATTATCCATCATGTGCAAAATTCAAAAAAAAAACCTATTAATTGTCGCTCAAATAGATGTATCTAGATGTATTTTAGTGCTAGATATATCCGCTTGAGTGACAAGTAATATGGATTGGAGGGATCAATGTATTTCATTCCCTATTAATTGTCGCTTAAATAGATGTATCTAGATGTATTTTAGTGCTAGATACATCCGCTTGAGTGACAAGTAATATGGATCGGAGGGATCAATGTATTTCATGTTTTATTTCCTTGCAGTTGTAGATTTTCATATTTTTGTTATATAAGTTTTGTCAAATATAGAAAGTTTGACCCCTTTTTTTAAAAAAAAAAATGCACTTTACATTCTTTGCGCATCGGGAATTAGAACATGTAGGAAAACGAACCAACAAGTGGCAAACCGTTCACAAGCCTCTTTAATCTGCCATGAGCTTTCTCTTCGTTGCTTGATTCTTTTTCTTGTCCTCCCCATATTCTGCTCTAAGGTTCATCATCACCCTTTTTTTACTTGTCATCAAAGTCAAGGAGGAACATATAGGGGCTATGGTAAAGGTAAATGATGATACACTAATGCATGCGCGATTAACACCGTCCAAAATATATCATCACTGACATGCTGCGATGCCTGTGCCCATAAGAAATCTCGAAGTCACCCATTAATCATAATCGGTGTCTCCTGGTTAGTGATGATTTCATCATCATGAATAGGCTTAGTTGCTCGGTCAGTGATAACTTAGCATCACACCCTGCTGACGGGTCACTAATAATAACACACAAAAAAACATATAGAATACGATAAAAAATGACATGTTCTCTTCCGACCGGTCAATGCTGACTTGCAGTGGTTGTGCCAGCTTGGGTTTGTCCTGTTGTAGTATACAGATACTGCTAGCACATAAAAAATTGCATTCTCGTATGTCACCACAGTTTTCCTCGCCCTCGCCCTTGCTTCTACCACGGTTTTTTCCGTCATGGACGGCTCAAAGAATGTCATGCAGCTGCGTCTCCGGCCCGCCCAGGACGAAAAGCCCATTTACTATCATGATTTTTTTCATAGAAGTAGGAGCCCACCACATCTATGATGATACCGGATTTTGTCACAATTATGATCATAAAAGTGTCATAAGCATGACATAATTTTTTTTCGTTCGGCCCAAAATGTCACGGATGTTTCTTTTTTTTAGTGATGGGAGGCGTAGGATGAAGATGGTCTCTCTCAAACAACCCTGCGACCAAATAACAAAGAGTCTCTTGTGTCTACAACACACCCAATATAATGGTAATTTGTATAGGTGCACTAGTTCGGCGAAGAGATGGTGATACAAGTGTAGTATGGACAGTAGATATATGTTTTTGTAATATGAAAATATAAAAATAGTAAGGTAGCAAGCGATAAAAGTGAGCGAAAACGGTATTGCAATGCTTCGAAACAAGGCCTAGGCTTCATACTTTCACTAGTGCAAGTTCTCTCAACAATGATAACATAATTGGATCATATAACAATCCCTAAAGATGCAACAAAGTGTCACTCTAGAGTCACTAATAGTGGAGAACAAACGAAGAGATTATTGTAGGGCACGAAACCACCTCAAAGTTATTCTTTCCGATCAATCCATTGGGCTATTCCTATAAGTGTCACAAACAGCCCTAGAGTTCGTAGTAAAATAACACCTTAAGACACGCATCAACCAAAACCCTAATGTCACCTAGATACTCCAATGTCACCACAAGTATCCGCGGGTTTGATTATACGATATGCATCACACAATCTCAGATTTATCTATACAAACCAACACAAAGAACTTTATTGAGTGCCCCAAAGTTTCTACCGGAGATTCAAGACAAAAATGCATGCCAACCCCTATGCATAAGTTCACAAGGTCACAGAAACCGCAAGTTGATCACGAAAACATAAATCAAGTGGATCACGTGAATATCCCATTGTCACCACAGATAAGCACATGCAAGACATACATCAAGTGTTCTCAAATCCTTAAAGACTCAATCCGATAAGAATAACTTCAAAGGGAAAACTCAATCCATTACAAGAAGGTAGAGGGGGAGAAACGTCATGAAATCCAACTATAATAGCAAAGCTCGCGGTACATCAAGATCGTGCCATATCAAGAACACGAGAGAGAGAAAGAGAGAGATAGAGAGATCAGATACATAGCTACTGGTACATACCCTCAGCCCCAAGGGTGAACTACTCCCTCCTCATCATCGAGACCGCTAGGATGATGAAGATGGCCACCGGTGATGGACCCCCCCTCCGGAAGGGTGCCGGAACAGGGCCCCGATTGGTTTTTCGTGGCTACAGAGGCTTGCGGCGGTGTAACTCCCGATCTTGGTTTCTTTTCGGGGTTTCTGTACTTATAGGAATTTTTGGCGTTGGTTTCACGTTAGGGGGGTCGCTGAGTCAGCCACGAGGTAGGGGGTGCG